CTTCAGAAGTGGAATTATTGAATCAAAGCATCGGAACGTTTTCATTGCTCTCAAAATACATCGGCCAGTTGCTTCTCTACCAGATGATGAAAGTGGGGACAGGGTTATTAGCATCCATCTGTCAAAGCTGAGCGCCTAAGAAGCTCGAAGGCCATTCTCTTCTCTCTTATCCTGTGGACCAGAGACAGAGAACCTTTTTCCTGCCAAGAGCCATTTGGATGTTTATAACATCATTCCTGGGCTATACAAAATTATCAACTTAAAAATTAGCCTGCTATATTTGATCGAACATTTCATTAACTCACCCATAATGTCTTGGCAGGGCCAGACCAACTGATTTCTCAGGACATTCTCCACCCCTGCTGTAGACAGTCAGCAATGAAAAACAAGCATGTGCCCTGGCTAGTGTGGCTCTATTGGTTGAGCATTATCCTGTGCGAGAGGCAACCAATAGATGTTTCTCATATCCATGCTTCTCTCTCTCTCCCTCCCCCCATTTTTTCTCTCTAAAATGAATAAAAACATAAAATAAAAAAAAAGACCTACAAGTATTCACACATACTAAGGACACAGCCATTTCTTTTGAGAGGACAAATTGGCTTTTCACAATTTCCTGTGTTTCTTCTAAGAGTTCTCTAAAAACTTTAATTTGGTATTACATATACTCTGTTTGATAGTTAGGGAAGAAAGGATTTTGAATTGGCATCTGTTTTGCTAATTTTCAAATAATTTTCAAGGTGAGATTTAAAACTATTTTATCAACTTCTCCTGATTGTGAACTTTGTTCCCAGAAAAAAAATCTTTTATGGGAGAGCTTATGTCATGTTGAATATGCTGATTGTGGTGCTTTTGTTTTATATTTGTAGGAGGAAAAGTATGTACATTGTAGGCTGGAAGTGATTTATCCTATTGTCCACCACAAGTATTATCCTTTGGTCAATGCATTATCGGGTTTTAGAACCGAGATGCGAACTTGAAGTCATTAAAACTCCTAAGTCCCCGGCCATAAAGTCGTGTAAGTGGCTTCACCAACAGATTTATTTCAGAATGATTCCATTTGGAGGAAGGAAAACACAAGCAATGCATTATATACGAAGACCTGTTCAATAATTCATGAGGCCAGCACACCAGTGGCCATTTTGGATTCAGTTCGTGGTCCTATAGCTGAAAATGAGTTCTGTCTTAGAAGATAGCCACGGTGTGTCCCTCTTTGTGCTTGAGTCCACGTGTATCTTGATTTTTGAGATACATGTTTTGTACTGATTCTCCTATTTAATGTGTTTAAATGGACCAGTCTTATATGGAGGCTATTTTGAAAAGATGAAAATTTTATATGATCGTGCTACAAGGACACTTTTATATGCATTCCCTTACCCTTAGCAAAGCAGGACTGTTTCAGAAATACATTGTGGTATTTTTCTTCGTCTGGGCAAAAATTTTTATTTCGTTTACTACATGTGTAGTGAATTGCCAAAGGGGATTAAAATGACAACAAACTCAGTGTTGGGCAGTCAGTAGCTTTGGAAAGGCACCCGTGGAAATGGCTTGCTGTCCTCTGGTGAGTCCTGGCAAGTGGCCCCGGCCCTTCAGCTGGAAACTCCTGAGTTCATCCTGAGCTCCATCCAGCCCGACCACCACAGAGGCACCAGGTTCTTGTTAAGGTAGCGACGCGCATGAAGGCATGGAGTTGGGCAAGAGTTGCCTGCTTCTGTCCACTCTGTGTGAGCTGCACTAGCAATAATGGGGGAACAATGAAAGGGAAACATGGGGGACTGATGTGCCTCAGATTTCCAAATAGGATCATTTCAGTTTGGCAAGTACATATTCCAGGATAAATATTAGGGGAAAAATAAAAATGAATGAGTGATGCTTTTGTTGTTTGCTGGAAAAGCTTCAGGATCCCTTTTTGCTTTCTTCCCTCCCTGTGCCCACTCTTACTCCCCAATAAAAGTGGCTACTTTATAAAAAGTGAAAAACCATTTTATTTAAAAGTCATTATAAAAATGTATACTATTCAGACTCTTGTAAGGAAAATGTAATCACTAGAAATCCCACTGTTAACATTTTTGAGTAGCATTTTATACCTATACGCATAAACACCTACACACATTTTACTTAAATTATATTATGCTGCATATGCTGCTTTGAATCTGTTTTGTGTTTTCTTTTTTACTTAACAGTATGTCAGAGATACTTTTTCCCAGAAATAAAAATCCTCCTCATCATTTTAATTGTTGTGGAATATTCCCTTGCATACATATACCATTCGTGCATTCTCTGTGATTAATCTAGGTTGATTTCATAATATTTGTTCCCATGTGCAACCAAGATGGTATCTTTGTGTGTATGAAGATCACTCTAGTATATGTTCCTACCAAATGGAAATACTGGCTTAACCAGTTTGCATATTTAAATTTTTGCTATATTTTACTGACAATGGCTTTGAAAGAAGGTGTTTCTTTTTTTTAAAAAAATTCATATATATTTCAGTTATACAACATGATGATTTGATGTATGTATACATAGTAAAGTGATTACTATTGCCAGGGTAATTAGCATATCTTCTTACCTTTTTCTAGTTGTGAAAACATCTGAAATCTAGCTTCTTGGCAAATTTCCAGATTTAACAACTATTATTAATCACTAGAGGCCAGGTGCATGAAATGCACAACTTCCTGCGCGAACAATTTCCTGCTGTCCTGATGACCCATTACAGCGGTCCAGGAGGAGGGGCGGGGGAGGGAACCTCAGCCCAGTCTGCACCCTCCCGCAGTCTGGGAGCCCTCGGGGGATGTCTAACTGATGGCTTTGGCCCACTCCCCATGGAGTCAGCAGTTGGACATCCTTAGCACTGCCACGGAGGTGTGAGAGGCTCTCACCACTGTACTCGCTGCTGTACTTGCCAACCATGAGCATGGCTTCTGGCTGAATGGTGCTCCCCCCATGGGAGCACACTGACCATCAGGAGGCAGCTCCTGCATTGAGCGTCTGCCTCCTGGTGGTCAATGCGCATCATAGCAACCGGTCATTCTGCCATTTGGTAGATTTGCATATTAGCCTTTTATTATATAGGATTATATAGGATAGTCATCATGCTGTACATTACATCTCTATAACTTACTCATCTAATGTAACTACAATTTTGTCCCTTTTGACCAACATCTTCCATCCTCCCTAAACTCCTTGTAGCCACTGTTCTACTCTCCCTTTCTATATATTTGACTTTTTTTTAGATTCCATATATAAGTAAAATCATGCAGTGTTGTTTTTTTGGTGTCTAGCTTATGTCATTTAGCATGATGTACTCCAGGCTCATCCATATTGTTGAAAATGGCAGGCACTCCTTTTATAAGGCTGGATAATATTCCATTATATCTGTATACATATCTATAAAATAGAGAAATATGCTAATTAACCGGGACGCTGTAATGGGTCAACAGGACAGGAGGAAGTTGCACACGCAGAATTGGGGGCGGGGGTGGCAGGAGCCTCCTCGTGGCTTCACTGCGTGACGTCCTGATCGGCAGCAGCTGCAGAGAGTCTGGAGAGAGAGGGAGGGCTGGACCTGCAGTGGCCACAGCTGCTGTGGGGCCTGGGGAGGGAGAAGGGCTGGACCGGCAACTCGAGGGTGGGTGGTGCCACACAATTTCAAATCACATGCTGGGCTCCTAGTATACATATAAATATATGTATCCACACACATACATATACATTTTCTTATCCATTGATGAACACTTAAGTTGTTTCCATGTCTTATCCATTGTGATTAATACTGCAATGAAGATGGGAGTGCAGATAACTCTTTGAAGCACTGATTTCATTTATCTTGGTTATGTATATACCCCAAAGGGATCCTATGGTAGTCCTATTTGTAACTCTTTGAGGAACCTCCATACTGTTTTCCATAATGGCTGTTCCAATTTACATTCCCACCAACAGTTTACAAGGGTTCCCTTTTCTCCACATCCTCACTAACACTTGTTAGCTTTTGGGGTTTTTGTTTGTTTGTTTTGATAATAGCCATCCTAACCGATGTGAGGTGATATCTCGTCGTACATTTCTCTGATGTTCAATGATATTGAGCATCTTTTATTAAGAAAGTTTTAAAACGTATTTCTATGTAGCTTAGTGCCTCCCTTACCAATTCTACACTGACTGGATATGATAAATCTTTTGAATATTTAATAAGCGTAGAAATGCCTCATTATTGCTTTTATTTTAGTATAATTGGACACGGTTTAAAATATTCATTGGCAATTTATATTTCTTCCTCTTTGATCTGTCTATCTATCTATCTATCTATCTATCATCTATCTATCGCCTTTGTCCATTTTTTGTTGAGCTGAATCATCTTTTTTTTATTGACTTTCAAAACTCCTCCACAATACAGTCAAATATATTCAAAGATACTTTCTTCAAATATACATAAAATCTATATGTATCCTGCTTAGGGATAAATTATTCCAGTGACCAGTGAGACTTGCTTTGTTCCCATTCTGGAATGGAGCTCATCGCTCTCACCATGTGTCGTGTGGTGGAGAGATGCAGCCACCCAGACCTGAGGGCGGTTGCCGAGGTGCCCTTGCTGCAATGTTCCTCATTAATGGCTCAGTGCAAGTCTTGTGATCCGTGCAGCCTCCTCTCTTCCTCTTCTTGATAAGCATCTTTTACTTACTGCTGTGTAATTCTAATAAGATTGCCCTGGGTCAGCCATATTAAATAAGTGATGAGCAGCAGAGAAAAGACAATTCATAGGATATTAACATTTAAAAGGAAATTTATTTTTGGCCTTTGCCCAAGAGTGAATTTCATGGTCTGTAAACCAAAAATGTATATGTGCAGTTGAGGAGAAAAATTTATATCTGATATGAGCCTTGGGAAAATTCTAGAGGGGATTCAGGGATCTTCTAGGGATGCTGTAGGGTAAAGTTTTATATTTAATCTGGGGTTGCATAAAATGCATTCACTTTGGCCTAAAACTATTTATTATTCCTAAACAGTTCCATTCCTTGGCTCCCATGTACTATCGTGGATCCGCTGCAGCTGTCATAGTGTATGATATTACCAAACAGGTAAGCATATCACCCTTAGAATTTAGATGTCATTTATGGTGATTCTCTCTCTTAGAAAGACCAAAGAAGAGATTTCACTGCTTAAATCTTGACAGTAGCCTGGAATGAGATTTCATAATGTGGTTGTCAGGGATAATGAACACTAGATATTGAGTTTATTTCACCTGTATGTAAGGAAGATTCCAGGTTTATCTGCTAACTTAAATAAACAACAGTGAACATTATTATCTATTTACTTACTAGAGGCCTGGTGCACGAAATTTGTGCCCTGAGGGAGGGTCTCTCAGCCCGGCCTTCGTCCACTCACAGTCTGTGAGTCTTCAGGGGATGTCTGACTTAGGGGAGTGGGGCTATGCTGTCAGTCAGACATCCTTAGTGCTGCTGCAGAGGTGGAAGAGGCTCCTGCAACCCCCACTGTGCTCCCTCGCCATGAACCTGGCTTCTGGCTGAACGGCACTCCCCTGGTGGGAGTGCACTGACCACCACTCCTGCGTTGAGTGTCTGCCCCCTTGTGATCAGTGCACATCATAGCAACTGGTCATTCTACTGTTGGGCCAAAACTGGCTCTCTGACATCCCCCGAGGGGTCCCAGATTGCAAGAGGGCACAGGCCAAGGGACCCTACTGGTGCATGATCGGGGCTGGGGAGGGACACAGGAGGTTGGCCAGCCTTTGTGTCCAGGTTATGTCTGGCCCATCTCTCTCAGACCTGATCCCAACAACAAACTAACCTACCAGTCAGAGTGTCTGCCCCCTGATGGTCAGTGCACATCATAGTGACTGATCTACTGCATGGCCCCTGGTGGTCAGTGCATGTCATAGTGAGCAGTCTTAGCATATCATTAGCATCTTATGCTTTGATTGGTTGAAAGGCCAATTGGAGGACCAGACACTTAGCATTTTAGGCTTTTATTATATAGGATTTATTTATTTATTTATTTAGTTAGTTAGTTAGTTAGTTAGTTAGTTAGTTAGTTAGGAGAGGAAGGGAGAGAGGGATAGAAATATCAGTGATAGGAGAGAATCATCGATTGGCTTCTCCTGTATGCCCTCTACCTGGGATTGAGCTTGCAACCTGGGCATGTGCCCTTGGCCGGAATCAAACCTGGGACCCTTCAATCTGCAGGCTGACGCTCTATCCACTGAGCCAAACCTGCTAAGGCAACATTCATTTTTAAAATGGACTGTTTGCCTGTAGAGGCAGGGTTATGTCTGCTAGTACTGTTGTCCAGAATGTCAGCTTTTTAGGAAAAGGAAAATTATTTTTTAAGTTCTGCATGCTTTATAATTATAAAAGATTTACCTTTTATTAATGTCTCGATGACACTACATAAAATGCCAAGGAGAGTGTGTTTGTGTACATATAAGTATGCTTTCAGTGTTCACATTGAGGATCCAGGATATCAATAACTGACTGCAGTGGTTTGCTGACATTTTTCCCCCACTCCTGGAGCACTGACTCAGTGCACAGCACTGCTAGTTTAATGAGTCATCACAGTTACCGGTGCCCTCCAGGAGCTCCTGACCACTTTTACCTAAACGTGGTGTCTGCCTTGGCTTGTTTCCTGGAGGACAGTTGTGAGTAAAGGACAGAAAGGAAAACAGACTAAAATGTGTGTGTGTGTGTGTGTGTGTGTGTGTGTGTGTGTGTGTGTGTGTGTGACAGAGAGAGAGAGAGAGAGAAAGAGAGAGAGAGAGAGAGAGAGAGAGATTTCTTTTTCTTTCCTGAGGTAAGCATGAACATTGTCTTAGTCCTATGACTTAGTCCTTTTTCATGCTAAGTCAAAGCTATACTTTTTTATATATATATTTTATTGTTTTTTATTTTTAATGGAGCTATTATTGCTTTTTAAGTTAAACTTATTGTGGTGACATTAGTTAATAAAATTATATAGGTTTCAAGTGTACAACTCTGATACATCATGTGTAACTGCACTGTATTTACCACTCAAAGTCAAATCTTCCGTCACTGTATTTTGACCCCCTTTACCCTCTACCAGCCCCTCATCCCTCTCCCCTCTGGTAACCACCACACTATTGTCCATGTTTATGAAAGTTTTTTTTTTCCTTGCTTGCTTTCAGTTTTATTTGTATTTTTTACAGAAATATTTTTATTAAAATTACTGGGGAGACATTGGTTAAGATTATATTGCTTAACTTTATCAAGTTCCAGTTTTAGAAAAGGAAACCTTTTATAGGCTATTTAAGTATAATTTAGCTAATATTAGAATATGTATCAAGATAGGAGTAGTTTATTGATCTATAATACAATACATGAGCCTCCTGAAAATATTTTTCTCCATTAAATTGTGTTGGGTTTGTATTTCTACTTGGTTGAAATACTGTGTATAGAATTACACAGGATTATGTGCATAGCATTATGTTAGGAACACATAACTCTAGTATGTTGATGGGTCTTTCCAATGCTTTATTTATCATTTGGATTAGGACTCATTCCATACCTTGAAGAAATGGGTGAAAGAACTGAAAGAACATGGTCCAGAAAACATTGTCATGGCTATCGCTGGAAACAAATGTGATCTCTCAGATATTAGGTAAGATGTATTTAAAATTTTTTGTGTGTAGTTAATATCCTCTATCCCTGAATGTCTACGTGTAAAAAGCTGTCATGCTTGTATTATCCTCAGAGTAATAATTCAATCAATAGTCATTCACTTGTGATGGTCAAGGTAATATTAAGAGTAGAATTAAGGGAAAATAGGAGAAAAATGCAAATTTGATGGACCACACAGTAATGAGTATTAATATAAAACCTCCTACATACAGCACAGTTACATCCCTGTTACTAAATGTTTTGGGCTACATGGTTTTATTACTTTTATTGTTATCTTTCATTATTATTGTCATTGTTACTTACAGTCATCATTTTAGTAACTTGCATATGGTAAAGAGAGTTAGATTTTTTTTTAATTCTCACCTGAGGATATGATTTTATTGATTTTAAAGAGAGAAGAGGGGAGAGAGAGAGAAACATTAATGTAAGAGAGAAACATTGATCAGTTGCCTCTCATAAGCACCCCCACTGGAACCTAACCTGAAACCTGATTAGAAATTAGAAATTGAACCCATGACCTTTTGGTGTATGGGACGATGTTCTAACGAACTGAGCCACATCAGCCAGTGAGAGATTCTAACGTTCACCACACATCCCTGTTTGTTTTATTTCTACACTCAAGTGACAGATGTAGTAAACTCTGTAATATCACTGTTTTGTTCTAAGATCTGAATGTGACCCCTCATATATGAACATTTTGGCTTGTCCCAAAAACATTGGATTGTTTAATTTTTACATGGAGAGATATTTGTAGACACACAGTCCACATGGGCGAGAGATTTGATGATAACTTTATCTAGCCTGATAAGCTACTTATTTTTACTCAATAAAAATTTTATGAAAGAAAAATAGAGAATTTGGGTTGTCTCCATTACTCTGGTTATTTTATTTTATTTTATTTTTTTAATATATTTTATTGATTTTTTACAGAGAAGAAGAGAGAGAGAGAGAGAGAGAGAGAGAGAGAGAGAGCGCCAGAAACGTTGATGAGAGAGAAACATCGACCAGCCGCCTCCTGCACATCCCCTACCGGGGATGTGCCCGCAGCCAACGTACATGCCCTTGGAACCCGGGACCTTTCAGTCCACAGACCGACTTCAGCTGAGTCAAACCGGTTTCAGTTCCTCTGGTTAGTTTAATTCTCAGCAATTCCAGTAGTTGATTTTCATAAAGACAATGGCGTCATGCTCCAGGTTTTGCTAATCCAAATATGATTAAACCAAAGTTAAATAACAGTGAAAAAGATCTTGCAAAAGCTCTTAACATGGCTTTCAACAAATTGCTCTGTTTCTTTGGGATTTCAAAAAGCTTTATATCACATTGCATTGGGTTGGATTATAATAATAACCATCAACACCAATTAATCATTTGTTTTTTCTGGGGGCTGGACAAACTCCCCAGACTTAGTTCAGATCCCTACCTTCTTTACTGTAATTCTACAGCAGTTTACTTGTCTAATGTTCCCAGTATAACTTTTGTCCTGAGGAGGGGGTGGTCCGGGTGGGTAGAGATTGCCTTTGCTGAGAGAAGGCGCTATCATGTGACACCATTGAACTGTATTAAGCCGTACCATAGTGTAACTTTAAGTGAACTAAGCCTTGTGTATTGTGGGAGAGCTGACAGGCTAGAATCTACACAGAAAATGATTTAAACTTGAATGGAATTATTTGGTTACTGGGAACTAAAACCTAATTGAAATTAATTTCAGGTGAAAAAAAAACCAACGAGAGGATTTATTGGAAGGTACCAGTACCACATGGTAAAACACAGAGCTGCCTTTATCTCTGGTATGCCACTTATTCCAATTTTAGTCTCTGGCAATCTCTGTTTATAGTCATTCCTATGGAAGGATTTTCTCATCATGATAAGGCATTTGTGGTCAAGGGAGGGGACTTAGGTAATACAAAATTATTTTTCCCACCATAACTTCAGGAATGGGAGGGTGACTAGTTTGGAAGAGGGGCAGTTTCTAGTAAAGTACAGCCTGGCAGACAAAACATGTATGTGACATGTTGGCTTGGCTACTGGCACCTAAAGACACTGTTTCCGAGGGTAAAATTCAGCTTTTATGCACCGTATAGGGTTCTCCTCAGCAAGCATTCTGCTTTGTGCTAGCCAATTCCTACATGTACAGTTTTCATAATGCATAATTCATGCATCTCACGTCTAACCACAGATTCACTCACAGCCCCTCCATACCCAACGGGAGACAATTCAAGACCATATCCCAGCTACTACATCCCGTGGAGACGATATGGGCCACTGTCACACGAGGCCTAGTTCTCTGGGTAACATGATGCCCTTTCTCTTCTAGTTTGGCCTCAGTGAGGTCTGAATGTGGCTTCTATGACCCTGCAGTTGTAGTTTAAAGTGTGGATTATGTATCTTTTGTTAAACTCAAAGTTATTTTAGAACTGCCTGTTATTGAATCATGCAGAAAGAAATGATTCCCTTTGTAATTCTCCTTCAAACATTTGGTTAAGTCAACAAGAAAAACTAGTTTGATGATAGTAAATGTAAACATTTAAGTGTTTATATTTTTATTAAGAAACTTATAAACCACAAAATGTACCTGTTTGAAGTATACAGGTCAATCAATGTTAGCATATTTATAGAGTTATGACATTCAATTTTAGAACATTTTCGTCATCCTACAAAGAAACATCATGCTCATGTACAGTTACTTCCAGTTTTGTATCATTTTCTCTTGTGCTTGATTTAATCTCATGCTGTTTTGTACAGTAACATGCTGTACTGGCTTATACTTAGGAGCAATAGAATATCCCATATATCCTAGGTGTGTTGTAGGCTGTACCATCGAGATTTGTGTAAATGCTCTCTGTGATGTTCAAACAATGACACAATCGCCTAACACATTTCTCACAACATGTCCCCATGAGTAAGCATTCATGGTTATAGTTGTCTGCAAAAGGCCCTCCACCTTGGACTGCTTTCTTTGTCTCTCTGTCTCTGTCTCTTGCTCTCTGAAAGGGAGAATAGGAAGTATAAAAATAAGTGTTAAAAACTTATTAGCCTCAAGCTCACAGGGAACATTCTCCAGGGTAGACCAAATTTTAAGCCGCACCATAAACTTCAATAAATTTAAAATAATTTAAAATCATACAAAGTATGTTTTCTGATTACAATGGAGTTGTATTAGCAACCATCCACAAACGTGAGGAAGTGAAAAACTGGATCACTCACACATTGTTGATGTGAATGTAAAATGGTCCTGTCACTTTAGAAAATAGTGCATTAGTTCTTTTAAATTTATCTTTGTTGTTGAAAGTATTATATTACAGTTGTCCTCTCCTTCCCCCTTAGAAACTCCCTTCACCCAGCAATTAAAAAACCCTAAATATGCAATTACCATTTGTCCCAGCAGTTGCACTCTTGTGCATTTATCCCACAGAAATGAAAACTTTGATTTACACAAACCTGCACATGAATATTCATAGAAGCTTTATTTGTAATTGTCCCAAACTAGAATCAGCACAGATGCCCTTCAAAAGGTGAATGGCTTAAACAGACTGCGGTGTATCCATGCCATGGAATATTACTGAACAATAAAGAGAAACAAACTAATAGTACGTGTAACTTAGGTAAACCTCAAGGGGAATTATGCCGAGTGAACAAAGCCAATTCCACAGGTTTCATAGTGTGTGATTCCAGTTGTATAATACTTTGAAATAAAAACATTTTAGAAATAGAGGACAAACAAGGTTGCCAGAGGGGATGGTTAGGGGCTGTGTAGGCTGGAGAGAGGGAGGAGAGTGGGCATGGATATTAAAGGCAACACAAGTTCTCCTTATCATGTTGGAACTGTTCAGTATCTTCTCTGTGGTAGTGGACATGTGATATACACAGGTAATAAAATGGTGTAGAACTTGCCCTACCAGTTTGGCTCAGTGGATAGAGTGTTGGCCTGCAGACTGAAAGGTCTCGGTTAGATTCTGGTCAAGAGCACATACCTTGGTTACAGGTTTCCTGGCCTTGGCTGGGGTGCATGCAGGATGCAACTAATCGATGTTGCATCTCACATTGATGTTTTTCTCTGACTCTCCCTCTCCCTTTTACTCTCTCTAAAAATCAATCTAAGAATACCCCCTGGTGAGTATTAGCAAAAAAGAAAATAAAATGGTGTAGAACTTTTCACACATGTGTGTGCACGCGCGCGCACACACACACACGAGTAACAATAAAACTGGGAAGTCATCCTGGCTGGGTGGCTCAGTTGGTTGGAGTATTGTCTCTTACACCAAAAGGTTGCAGATTCAGTTTCCTATCAGGGCACATACTTGGGTTGTGGCTTTGATCCTTGGTGGGGTGCATACGAGAGACAACCAATCAATGTTTTTCTCTTTTTGTCTCTCTTTAAAAATCAATAAAAACATATCCTGGGGTGAGGATTAAAATAAAAATACTGGGGAAATATAAGTAGTATAGAGTGAATCCATGGCAATATCCTGTCTGTGAAATTACACTATAGATTTGAAAAATGTTGCCATTTGGAGAATGTGGCAAAATGTACAAAGAATTTATTGATATCATTTCATATAATTATGCTATATGGGAATCTCCAGTTACCTCAATAAAAATTTCAATTAATAAATAGTTGATTGAGATAAAATAACTAAATATTAAAACAGTGCCATATTATAGATATATTCTCAATATATATGCATCATTCACACACACACACACACACACACACACACACACACTGAGTGGTCAGATTATTATGATCTCTGAACACATAATAATCTGGCTACTCAGTGTATATCCTATATAATAAAAGGCTAATATGCAAATTGTCCCCTCGGCCAGGAGTTCAACCAGCAGCCAGGCCAGCCAACTACCCATATCCCCTCCCCCTGGCCAGGCTGGCCGGACCCCACTCATGCACGAATTCATGCACTGGGCCTTCAATACACACACATACACACACATACACTGAGTGGCCAGATAATTATGTGTTCA